AATTATTTGACAGGCGATTTTGTAATAAAGAGCTGGAAGTCGTCTAAAATTTTAATGATGCTGGAAGTGAAACTGTAGGAAGAGTGTGCCTTTTCGATAATTCACGGGGATCAGTACGAATGCCTTGATCTGATAGCGAAGACACCCGAGGATGCGAAAATCTGGATAACAGGTCTAGTGTCCCTAACATCATCCAGTCGTGCTGGTAAGTCTCAGCATTTGTTAGTAGTCATTAGCAATCAGTACTGAATTCGTAAACTGAAAAACTGTTGAAAATCACTCACGTGCGTTTCACCAAGAATAAAGTTAATCTTTTAATAAAGTCAATCTTTTAAGAATAAAGTTAATTAATGATGAAGTTAATCTTTTAGTAACTCTGCAGTAATTAGGCTTGAATGGTAGTTAGCTGATGAATTTTGACAGAACTGCATTGCAGGCATATGTGAATCAATGCCCTCAGGCTCCCAGCCACTTGCAACGCTCCGAGAAAGGTCATAGTTCATTTTCATAATTCAGCTTCAAGATCATAGTTCAAGGTGACGGTTCTTTTTTCTCTAGATTTGTTGAGATTTTTTTTTGTCATTTTACTACATTTCGGACACTGTTTTAAACCAAATTGATTTTGTTGAGTTTGCCAAAAGAGAATTTTTCATACTGCGTTTTGTAAGATACTAGAATCTACAAGAGCAGTTCAGGTGGCTGGAATCAGTGTTTGATGAAGCGGATCCAGACAAGCTTGGCTGCATTCTGGAGAATCAGGCTGTGCAGCTTATCAAACAGCTTAACTCTCGAATTTTGCTCAGTAGGGTGAAACACAAAGTGAAGGTTCGTCTGACTTAGATTGAAGTACTTTTCTAAGCAACATCAACTTATCATTTTATTCTAATGCTCATTCGAATTCTGGATTTTTTAGGAAGCATGCATTTTGAATCCGGAAGAATCGCAGCGCGGAAAAGTAACTCGTTCGCAATTTGTGGATATCTACAGGGTAACATCAATAATGCTCAATTTCTTTTTTAAATTTTTATTTCCTATTTCAACCGTTTTTGCAGCTAATCTGTAAATTTAAAATGCGAAGCACTCCGAGCCGATCGTGATTATTCCTTGTGACTGAACTAGTTGTTTTTGTGAGCACTTGACTCGGCCCTACTTGTACTTCTTTGTCCTCCTCTTCTCCTTCCTCCTACCCTCCTCTTATAAGGAGTACTGTTAAGAACTTGGAATTATATCTTAAATTTTGCCGATCTCGGCCAAGCAATTCGGTTTTTTTAGCTAAAGTTAGTCATACATTGCATGGACATCCCCTACTATTCAGCAACACTATATTTTTCGTAGAAAAAATGAAATAATTTCAGGACGTTGCGACAAGACCGGAAATATATTTCCTGATGGTGCAATATGCCAATAAGGACTACCTGAGTTGCAAAGATCTTCAAGTATTTCTGGAAACCGAACAAGGGGTTGTTCACTTTGAACTTCACCTAAAATCTCAGTTTCCGAAATAAAACCAGGATTTTTCGATCGAAAGAAGGATTGCTGATTTAATAATCTTCTGATGAGTCCCGCAGCTTACCCGAGCAAGTACTAAAGAAGCCGTTAAGTTATCGCGCGTTATTAATAAATAAATGGCCAACGCACGGGCTGCCCGTACGACGTTTTTTGCAGAGTTCCCCGCAGTTTTTGTCGCTACCGGCATCGGTTTTATCGGCAGATGCTTCTTCAACACAGATGCGTATACAAACGCACCAAATTAAATAATAGATAAAAGATAAAAGTAAATGGCCAACGCACGGGCTGCCCGTGCGAAGATGCGTTTTTTGCAGAGTTTTAGCTTACCTGTAAAAAAAATTGGCCAACGCACGGGCTGCCCGTGCGAAGATGCGTTTTTTGCAGAGTTCCTCGCAGGTTTTTGTCGCTACCGGCATCGGTTTTTTCGGCAGATGCTTCTAGCTGAAAGAATTTCAGACTAGCTGCCGGAAATGTCAGCAAACATCCCATCAAAATTCCAGTCTTCTAGCTTCTCAGGTTCTCGAGTAATTAACTTACCCGGAAGGAACTTTCCACAGGCCTGTACGTAGGTACCACGCTTACCCACGGGCAGGGTTTGAACTCGTTAATACCCACTTAGACAGGAAAAACCCCCCCTAAGATTCCAGCTCTCTAGCATCTCAGAACCCCGC